GTTTACGCTGGAATGCAACAATGGGGAACGGCTTTTAGGCAAAACACGCGAATAATAACTAAAACGGTTGCCTAGTTCGCTGCGCAGCTGTCTATTTTGTAGCGGAACTATGAAAGGGTTGATAGGAAAAGCGGCGAGCGGAGAAAAAAGACCGCGTGCCTCAATGTAACGTTATTACGCGTACGTAAACGTAATTTCAGCGTGCACGCGACGCGGCGCGACGCTATGCGACGCGACGGGACGCCGCGTTGGATCGTGCGCGGTCGTAAAACGAATTCGCGACGATATCGCGGCGGGCAACGGAATCGCTGTCGTTAAACGCAACCAACGGAAATTCCCTTGAGCGATTAAATCGTTTACGGTCCGCTAACGAGCGTGCACGTTATGCCACCCTCTCTTTCCCCGGCTCTAGCGCATCCACTCTCTCTCTCTCTCTCTCTCCCTCTCTCTCTCTATCTCTCTCTCTCGCTCTCGTTCCATCCCGGTGTATCGATTTAAATAAACAGATGCTCGTATGCCTTTAACGATTTCGAACGGACGCGCGTAGATCGCCGGCCGGCGCGTCCGCCATCTTGGTTAAACGTGGACGCTCATCTCCCTTAATTAGGGATTAATGCAGTTTGCCCTCATTAGCGTCGCTCGGCAGCGCGACGTTAGCCGCCGCTGAACATTATTTTCCCACGATCGCAGAGATTTTTTGGTTCGGTTGATTTTAGATCGCAAACCGCGACGCTAGGGAGGGGAAACTAGGGAGTGCGTTTATTTTTAGTGTCGTCGGAACAGAATTAAAAGTCCCTTCGAATTCAAGCCCTTGCCTCGTTAATTCGATGCACGGCGCTCCCTCTGTACGGTCGCGCGACTCCGGGAGACGCTACGGAGGAAACGCTGTGTTCTAGTGTCATATTTTCCCGTTAAGTCTAAACAAAGTACCGTTTCGCTTGCTGCGATATTCGATCATCGGAATAAATCTAGACCGGTCGTAAAATTTGAGGTCGTTAAGGCAAGGGATCGATCGCGTCTAGACTATTTGGTGGCGGGCCTCTCCGATAGCGATTTACTATTAATCGTAGCGACCGTAAACTCGCGAAGCTTCTTCCGATACACGGATCGACTCCGTTGTTCGGCGCGTCGAACAAATGCGCTTCATTTTGCGGCTGCAAGGAAGAACGCTGTGGGTCACATGTTTTCACTCTCGAAATATTGATCGTTATTGCTTCGTAGCGGTAGCGTCTCAAATTGAACAATCTTTTTCTGTATGGGGCGAGTGTGGGTATTACTGCGGTCACCCCAAATACCTTAATAAAGGTATAATAAATAAATAGATAAATATAAAAATAAATTAATTATATATCTTAAAAAAGTAATGAAATCTTCTAAAAATGAATCTCGTAATTTGTTACGCGTTTAATATTGATGATTTATGACATGCAAGAAACACGAATCGCAGTTTTAACTCATTTATTGACTTTTGAAATTCCGAAGCTTATGAAAACGTTGAGTTTTGTGAAATACTCGTAATGGCAGCTTGAACGCTGATTCGAAAGGCATTTATATTTTGGTAATTAACCCCTTAATGCACAATTTAAAAAAAAAAACCGACCAAAAAAAATCAATTTTTTTTATCTAATAAAATACATATTTGGACCTTAATTTCAATAAATATGTAAAAAAATGCAAAAATTACTAAAAATTCAATAAAAATAGTGGATAAATAATTATAGTGAATATTGAATCGCATTGCAGATCGAATTTTGTACCCATCGTACTGTTTTTCAATTAATATAGGTAACATAACATAAGTTGCGACGCCGACCGTATATATACGGGTTTGCACATTTTGGCCGGTTTTGCACGCCCGTGTTAATACGTTTCTGCGCGTTAAGGGGTTAATAATGAACTAGTCATTTTAGCGTTATTTTTAGATAAAGTTTACTTTGATCAAAAATCGACACACGCTGTCGCTATCGTCTATTCTCAAATATTATTTACCAACACAGTATTTGGCGCATAGTTTTAAACTATGCGTGTACATTACTGCGGTGTTTCACCGAACTACGTACCCTAAACCTATACAGTGCAGTTCTCGATGAGCCGGTGCGAACACGCTTGATCGTAGAATACCTAAACCTAATTTGTAAAATGCTACGGCGAGAATATCTTGATCCTAGGAATTGCAGTTGTGTGCGTGCGCATTTAAAAGAAAATGGGTTATGTCAGCTTGACACGCAGCGATCGGAACGCCCGCGGTAATAGATACATAACCGCAGTAATATATGCACACGTACGGTTACTTTACATTCAGAAATTTGTGCTTTCAGAGATCCAATATAATTAACACGTTGAGCGCCGTGTCGGTCACATATGGGTGACACTGAATTTTGACCAATTTTGAACATTCATTTTCATTGTAACATGTTCGAACAAACTGAATTTGACTAGGATGTTTCGGATGCGGGAGATTTCCAATGTCATCCATTGTGATAAATTTTAACTTTCTAGTTTCGGTAAAATTAATTAGATTGCATTGACTCTGAAGGAATTTTAGTGGTCGATCGTTGGCGCTGAATGTGTTAAACAATAATAGGTATAGCCCAATTTGTCAATTTATCGGCGTAAAAGGTCTTACTTTCTCTGTCAAAGTTCGCCTTCATCGAGAAACCGCAGTAATACCAGCACTTCCGCATAGAATTTGTTTCCGCGACGTTTCTCCTGCTAAGTACGTGAATCCTCTATGCAATGATTCATTTAATGCGTCGACTTAAATATTTTGAAATCGCGAGTTCCGGCGTTTTTCCTTGTAACCGCAGAGCTCGGTTCTGAATTTTTCAAGGAGCAGGAGACACGTGCGCGGGCGTGCCGGAAACGGCCCTCTCCCGGCGCAAAAAACGGCGGTGAAGCAGCAGATTGGCCGGCACGGTACTTCGAAATGGAATTTCGGAACGGAATTTTCGATCGTCCCTTCTCCTTGTTATTACAAGGAGTCGCGTACACGTCGCACACGTTTCTTGCGAATACACACGGCGCACACCTGGCACGGAGGGGGGTGGGGCTGTTTCTTATTCAGGGTGTCTCTCTCGCGAAACTGGGCCAGGCTGAATAATTCCGCTCGGGATTAGCCTGGACGACGGGCCGAGCGGCGGGGTCCGAGCCTGGGATTGGTATCAGGACCGAATTCTACTAGATATTTCAATAGACGATGCCGAAGTTAGGTCCGTGGTGGATTGGTCAGTTTGGGATAAACTTCGATTAGGTCTGGGCTAGGCTCGAGGCGGGGCAGGATTCGGTTACGGTCACGCTAAAAAAGAAACAGAGTCTCCATGGTAGTCATGCTTGATCGAGAAACACAGCGAGAGGTCTGAGGGCGTTGAGACAAACCTTTTGATCCAGTCCGTAACCCGTCGAATAAGCGATCTGTAACTTTTTATCAGTTGGCATTAGATCCTACGACAGACCAGTGGAAATCATACTTGTAGCTCCGATGCCGGTCTCATCTTTAACACCAGAACCCGCGATACAATCGTTCGTAACCCTCGGACGACGGAACAGTATCACAGCTACAGTAATGTCTCCCTTATTGACGCTTAGATTGCGCACAAAAATGGACAATTTGGGAAGAGGAGATACAATTATTCGAGCCTTGCACAGCTCGTTTTTATAGTGGTCGACAATTCGGAACTATAAAAACGAGGCGCAAGACTAGATTAATCGTATCTCCTCTTCCCAAATTGTCTATTTCTGTGGACAATCTGAGCGTCAATTAGAGAGACATTACTGTATTATGATCTATCTCAGGAATCGAGATCGATGAAATTAATTAAACACGTAACTCTATACGAGAAGGATACAACAAACTGTTTCATTCATTCGTTCAGATCGACTTTTTAGCTGCTGTCAACTCCGTTCTAGATATTGTTAGTGCGCCGGGTTCTCTCTCATCGCTGGATCGCCGTGCTCCGATGCGTATTGCGTCGAATACAGTAATGTCTCCCTAAGTGACGCTCACAGTATGCACAGAAATGGACCATTTGGGAAGAGGAGATACGATTATTCGAGCTTTGTAGCTCGTTTTTATAGTTGTCAATTATTATTAATTTGTCAACAATTATAGCAAGAGCTGCAAGACTCGAATAATCGTGCCAGCTCTTTCCAAATTGTCCATTTTTGTTTCCAGGCTGAGGGTCAATTAGGGAGAATTTACTGTATCGACGATTTCGGAGAAGATACGATTATTCGAGCAAAAATCGGCAATTATGAAAACGAGCTGCGAGACTGGAATAATAGTATCTCCTCATCCGAAATTGTCTATTTTTGTGGACAATATGAGCGTCAATTAGAGAGACATTACTGTATAACGCTTTGATTTTCAATTGGTTGAAACTGTTAAACGAAGAATTACACTGTTATTCGATTCTTGTTTTATNGGACAATATGAGCGTCAATTAGAGAGACATTACTGTATAACGCTTTGCGTCAATGGTAGAAGGTATTTAATTTTCTGTAATCTTCTGCTTGTCAAATAATGGACATTGCCACAGTGCGTGATCAATGTCCCGTCTTTCGTGCCCAAATTGGCACTTGGAGTACATTAAAGTCTCTCTGATGCTGAGATTGTGCACAAAAATGAACAATTTGGGAAGAGGAGATACGATTAGTCGAGTTAATTGCAGTTAATTTTTATAGTTACGAATTGTCAACAATTATAAAAACGAGCCGTAAGGCTCGAATAATCGTATCTGCCCTTCCCAAATTGTCCATTTTTATGGACAATCTTAGCGTCAATTAGAGAGACATTACTGTATACGATTCACAATGCAGTAATGTCTCTCTAATTGATGCTCAGATTGTCCACAAAAATGTACAATTTTGCAAGACGAATTCTTCCCAAATTATCCATTTTTCTGCACAACCTGAGCGTCAATTAGGGAGACATTACTGTATTTATAACAATTCTGTGGTTTAGTCAACGATCTTTCCGAACATACCTTCGAAGATACTACATATTTCTGTTGTCCTCAGCGTGACAGCCGTTTATTCCATTTAATCGCCAAAAATTGAGCGGCCATTTAAATACATCGATTCGCAAAAGACACGGTAACCGCAGGCCGAGGGTTAAAGTTCACACTTGAAATTCACGAAATCGTGTCCGATTATCCGAAGTCGTGATCGATTATCAAATGATCTCGGATACGTCGAAACTTCTGGGGTCCTAGTGTCGAAAGATCCACGAAAATGTCGGCGGTGTTTCCTAAATACAAATAAACGCGTATCTCTCCGGCGCAGAAATGAATCCGCTGCTTTTTCGCCCAAACCGGTGCAGAATGATTTCACATTTCTGCGAGAATAACGATGGAATAACGTTCGAAACGAACAACGTTCAAAACCTGTATGCATTGACATCTCTGCTCATCGGTTGGCTGGAAGATGAAATAAAATTGCCGAGAGATAAAATTCCGCGATAAAATTCTGGCCGCGGAAGGTACGTTCGACGAAGAAACTAAGGGCGAATTGTTCCGGCAGTTGCCGCATTAATTTCTGCGTGAGAGATAACGCCGTCGCGCGGGAGCGCAATCGCCAGCGATAACGTCGAACAGAGTGACGTCATCGGTAGCGTACTCGGAACGATTCCGGGGATCGAGTTCCTACTACAGTTTGTTCGAGCCGACGACGCCTCGGTTTGCGACCCAGTTTCGCGCGAGTCACCGCGCCGAGAAAACGTTCGCGGGCCGATCTTAACGATCGCTCGCCGCCGACTAATGCGAAACGGCGTGCACGGTTCGGCTGCCGCCGGAAGATCGTAATCGCGTTATGGTAGAAGTGGCTGTATCCGGCGCTACTTAGGTACACGTAGCTAAATTAAATTACCTACAAGGAGATTGCGGGTAATTGGGAAAGGGACACCGGGGAAGGGGGGTGAGTGGATGCAACCAAATGCATGCGTAATGCACTCCGCTGACCGCATAAATCACTCAAATCGCTATCTTGATCTGGCGGCCGGGGGACGGGGCGGCACTGTGCCGGGGAGGGGGGACGATGCCGAAATGGTCAATACTTGTGCGAGCCTATGGTTCTAGGTGATGTTGCGATGAAACTCGATTCGTTCGGACGTGCGGAGACGAGAGATTGAAACGATTCCGGTTCCTGGATGCGAAACATTTGCTTTTCGACCCTCTGTCCTCCCTTGTGCTAATCTGACACGGTTTTCCACTGCGTCTGAAAAAGTACACTCCGATCACACGTCACAATTTCCCGTTTTCTTAAGAGGCTACTCGAGATCGAATTGCTCGGCGTATATTTCGTCGACGTGTCAATTTAACACCGAGGGACAAACGAACCGCTTCGCCTACCCGGGAGAATGCCGTTTGAGAAAATCGTTTAACCCATTGACTGCCACGAAAATTTAGCGCGTCTTGCCCTGGGTGCCACCGTTTCATTTGAAAGAAAACACGAAGTTTTACAAAACATGATAATATTAAGTTACTGATATAATATTGCAATGGCATTTACAGTATTTTTTTTTATTGATGATCAATATGTTCTCTACGCTATATACATTTTTTATTCATCCTTTTTCTAATAGTTCCTAACTCAAATAGCCATTTGTAGCCAATCTAAACTTGCAGCACTCGCTACGAAATATCTCGTAGCTGGCAGTTTTGGTGCAGACGCTTACTACGAGATATCTCGTAGTTGGCAGTCAATGGGTTAAGAGTTTCAGCGTGGAGACGTTATTGCTGGGCTTTCCGTTGAGGTGGCAGGCTGGCATTACTTTCTAACCAGTTAGCTGTGGCGCCTCTTTTTCAATGCGCGCACCTATACGTGTCGCGAGAATCAAGCGACGGACGAGTATACTCGTCAAACAGAGATTAAGTGTCGCTGTTAAAATATTGGATCAAAAAGACGGTATTATTTGATAAAATTGACCATTTTATTACTAACGTTTACTTATTCGCTTGACATTAACATATACTACGTACATAATAAACGAAAAAACGCGGGAAAGAAAGATCAAATACTTATAAAAGTTAAAAATTCAAGTTGCTACTGTAGAGTGGTATTCAGCAAAGCAAGGTACAATACGCGACGGCACTTTGCACATCGAACATCGATATCGTGAATTATTCATATTTTTTAGTTGTTTGTTTTATTCCGACCTGGCCTCAAAGTATTCTGAACATCTTGAGATTAGAAAATATGTTTTTCTTTTCACCAAAATTACAATTTAAATAGCCAATGGTCACTACTTTTTACGCACGACGAATATACTCGCCGAGACACAAAATAATGCCGCTTCTCCCCATATGACGAGTATACACGTCAAACACAGCTAACTGGTTAACCTTGATACTGCCGGTCTCATGCACCGATGCCGTTCGAACGATAGTTTATGTCAAGGTTATCATGCGTTGATGTTGTCCAAACGAAAAGTCCAGGGATCAAAAGTCAAGTCAAAATTTTGTAAGGTCAAGGGTTAACCACCTGGGTTAGAATTACAATTGGAACATGTTCGATCGACGCGACTAGACAAAAGTTCCTTTCGTTTCGGAGAAAATCTGAAGGAACTGAAATCGATGATATTCGTACCCGAGTGGTTAATTACCGACCGACGACGTCTCCGAGTGTTTTCCGAAACGGTTGTTCTCCCGGAAGGGTTCTGAATGCGTCGACGTGACGGGCGATATGACCGATCGGGGTGAAAAACAGCTAGAATTAAATCATCTCGGCCCGGTACCGTGGATTGCTCTTATTCACCCTGATTATCGACGCTCGAGTGGAGAGCACGTGCACTCGTCGCGCTCGCATGTCCCTTTCCCTATATCTATCACCCCCCCCCCTCTCTCTCTCTCTCTCTCTCACTCTCTCTTTTCGATTCAATATGTACCAGTGCCGACGCTTTTGTTCACGAGATCACTTCCCGATAAGTGCGAACGGAAAGATAGGGTGAGACGGGAACGGAGAGAGCGAGAGCGAGGGCGAGAGAGAGAGAGAGAGAAAGAGAGGAATAGAGAGAGAGACAGACAGAAGGGAAAACAAATGGAAATATCGAGAGATGCGCTCGTTTAGGGGACTCGAGCGACTCGGAGGAGCGAAATGGATGAGGGGTGCGTCGACAAGCACGCTACGATGGTACGTGCGGTTTCAAAACGGTTTTGGCTGGCTGGGCGGGTGAGCAAACGCTTGCAGAAACTCCATCTAACCACTAGATCGAAAACTAAGGGGTGATTTCGTTCATGCCAGAACCGGGGTGACCGGTTTTGCGGAGGGCTAGGTCTTGCTTGGACGTCTGAGAGCTGTGTGAAACGCAGGCGTGTCCAAGAAGGTCCTCCGGGGGCCATTTCCCAAGAGCCGTGGTCTATCTAGCGTTCTAAATCAAGTTAATTAGGCTATCCGGGCGAACACTAGATTCCCCGCAGACACGCCGCAACGTTGCGCGTCTTTTACCGTTGATCTGTGCCACGAGCGAACACAGGAGCAGAGTAAACACCGGTAAACACCGAGCAGACTAATTTATAGAAATCGAAGTCCGGGCGAAATAAAGATGGTCGCCGGATGCCTAACTTGGACACGCCGATCGCATCGATCGCCAGACCCACGAATTCAGCCCACTACATCGCACAACGAGCAATTCAAACACTAAAAGAGAGAGCCACCTTCCGCGTCTCTCGTACCGTCGCGAACTCTCTGTTGCTGGTGAAGGGTCATGCTTCGTTGCCTCTATCGAACGAGATCGCGTCGCAACGGGGAGGAAAGCGAACGGAACGAAACAGCTGCACGGGACCTCGCAGACTCGTTCTTCTCGCGTTCAAACGCCGCGCCGCGCCGTTTCTCTCGGAGAGGCGAGACGTGGCGAACACGAAATCCGCGGGAGAATTTATCTTGGCCATGCGACAACGCTAGCAACTTCTCCGGATTGGCCGCCGAAAATCGCGGAATTAAAGAGCGAGACCGCGAACGAGATATCAACCCGTTGCACTCGAAGCCATTTTATTTATAAATTCGGAACAGTCTTCCTGATCTACAATATTTACATTTTATATGACTCGTTGCATTCCGTAGATGTGAAATTGAATCTGGTGACTCATACAACAGTCACACCTTTTTTAACCCTTAGCACTCCGAAGGTTCCGCTACGGAGACATTTGCCATTTGTTCCGTAACTCCGAAGGCTCCGCTGCGGCGTTATACGTTATCATCGGCGTTAGCAATTGTTATCTGTAGTTAAAACGTGCTAAGTCTGTGCCATTACGATTAAACCATTTTTTGACCTTTTCTATGGTTAGCAACATGGAGAAAAATAGATATTATAATGAGAATTTAGAGCCGCGAGAGTGATACCGAAGACGTATTTAATTTTGAAGAGTTAAAAGACATTGTGTAGGACAATGTTGGTTATGATTCTAACACTTCGAATAGTACTAGCGAAATTATACTACCAAAGAGACGAAGAATGAGAATTATTGAAAGCGAAAGCGAAGATTCGTTACAAGACTTGGATGAATGGCTCGATGTTACGGAAGAATTACATATTCCATATAGAATACCTTTTAGTGTATTGCCACAGGTCATTGGACCACAAGCTCCTACAAACATTGAACAGCCGATACAATATTTTTAATTATTTTTCACGGACGAATTGGTAAATGAAATTATGAAGCAAACCAACGATTACGCGGAAAATGTTCTAAACTTGAGAGAAATATCTGGTAACTCTATTTGACAAAGCGAATACTGTGACACTTGTCCAAGTAAACCCAGAATGCACATGGGAGATTGTTATCAAAGATATCGCACCATGGTGAATTACAAAATTTAAAATTTATCTTTTATTTACAATAGGAAAATGTATATTTATAAAATAAATAAAATCAAATGCATTCACAAGGACGTGTAATCTTTTCCGCTCAAAATAAGACTTTCTTTATCTCAGGCGCTCCGCTCCAAAAATGTGCCGGAGTTTGACTCGAAAAACGCGCGGAGCGCTAAAGATTAAACAGTTCTTCAAATATTTTCGAATATAAATATAATATCTGACAATGAATAAAGTATTTTGGAACGTGATACGATAATTTTTAGGAGAGCTACAGAGTCACCACTTGAGTGTAAAGGGTTAAAATTCATTGGAAACGAGTCCTCGAAGCGGGCTCGCGTGGCGTTCGATTTGTGCGCGGCGATTTTCCTTCGAAAGAACACCCGAGCCGTGTCGTTCCTGCGTTCGCGCGTGTATCGAGGTGGACCAGGAGTTTCTTGGGATGGATGACGAGGAATGAAATCAAGTCCAAGGGACGTCGCTCAGCGACTTCGTTCTCTCTAGTCCTCGAGTACGGATTTTGTGTTTTTTGTATTTTTTGTTTTTGCTTGCTTTTGGTTTCTTTTGCTTTTCTCTTTCTATCAACTTATCTGACCTGAAGCGTGTACTGTGGTCCGTGGTGCTGCCCGTGGTGTTGCCCGTGGTGATGATGATGCCTCTGATAGTGCGACTGCTGGTGCGGCGGATCGTGTTGATAGCACTCCTGTTGGTACTGCTGCGACGGGACCGGTTTCAAAACGTGATTCGGTCGTTTTTCCGAGGCGTACTGCTGGCTGTTGCGTTCCATCGTGTCCACCGCCAGCCGGGGATCCTCGATCATCGTGTTCGAAGCCTTCGTGCTGAAACAGATCCGTCCGTCTGTATAGATCACTTCGACTTTACCTCGTTTCGCCAACTTTCTCTCGTTCGTTGAACCGTTTCTTTTTTGTAAAGATTTCTTTGAACTTTCCTGCATGTAATTACTAGACTGCGGATTTTTGTGCAAAATAAAAAAAAAATGTCCTCGTTAATTAGGTGATATGGAAACTACACGGATATTCATTTCATTTTTCTTAATCGTTACAATGAATTAACAGTAATACAGTATTCTCAAATTTTATAATGTTATAATGTTCTCTCTATTTTGCATTTGATCTATTCATTTCTGTCATAATTGCATAAAATCCCCAGTAATGACCTTTTCAAAGTAAACTTGAAATTTTGACGAAGAAATTCTTTAAAAGTATGTTAAAATGTTTTTAACCTGTTTAAAGGTTCCTCGGGAAACCTGAAATACCTTGGAAATATCTTTTAGATGTTATCACCAACGGCATGGCCTGATCATTGATGGACAATTCTACTTACCACTTTCTAATTACCACTAACTGCATAGTTTCACCGTAACACGAATTAATTTAATTCAACCAGCCAAGAAAAGATTCCTGAAAGTGTCCTATCTGCTTCACAGTCTGTCCATTCCAGTGTATTTCTACTTAAAAATGCACGTAACGGGTGATTTGTCGTTACTTTTGTATAGAACAGTAGATAAACGTCTACAAGCTGTTTTGTGATTAAACAATTCTATAAAAAAAACTTCTTCGAGAGACCGCTGGCTTCCCCGAATGAATACAGCGTTCTTTTTTAAAGCAAAGTCGGACCATTGTTCTTCATTTCTACTTGGAGGCTGCTCCCTCCGAGTCCGTCCCTCCGTTAACCAATCACAGAAAAATTCGTAAAATTATCCCGTTGCACCACCCAACGGAACGTGTCCGGTTCCCCAAAGTCTGATCAACGCTCGCCTCCTCCACTTGTGAAGCAGTCGTCGATCCCCCTCCTTTGTACAGAACAATAGATAAGTTTCCATCGGTTTTCCATTCGGGCTTTTTCTCTCCGCGGGGTAAAAAGTGACGGATCGGCCCGCGATCGCGGTCCCGTTAATGAAAGAATAATTCATTAGGTTCCGTCGGGGGTGGGGGCCGCTCGAAAGGATTCCGCCGTTTCCCCATGTAAATTGCTCCGACTTCGTTTATTCGCGGGTAACGAACGAGCGGATGGACGGACGGACGGACGGACGTACGAACGAACGAACGAACGATGGAAGGAGGGACGCGAGAGGGACGGGCGGGGAGTCGCGTGCTTACCAATGCACTTGCTGCAGAGCGGGCACCGTGTTTCTGGCCACGCAGCATCTATCCGAACGTAGGAAACAAACGAATCCCATTATCAGGACGGAGAGCACCGTAAACCCAGCGACGGCGCCGATAACGAGCGGAATCTGTAACAAATACGAGGGACGGAAAAAAGCTTTTACACGCGACCACACCGACGCGATTCGATGCGACGAGAGCGAGAGAGAGAAAGAGAGAGAGAGAGAGAGAGAGAGAGAGTGAGAGAGAGAGCAGGCCGGCTCCATTCTCGTACGCGCGCCGAATACTTATACTTTAATTAAATATCGAGCGCAGGAACTGTTCGCCATTGTTTAATTGGACCGTCGATTACCGGCAGCGGCACGCGAGCGAGACGGTTCTCCGCTCGCTCGGAACATTGCAAACATTCGAACGGATGATACTCTCTGCTCTACGAAACATTATTACAAAGTTTCTCCTCTTTCATTTACCCCGTTTCCCCCCTCGGAGTCCGCGCGATTTATTCTTTCGCCGCTTTCCGCACTTCCATTCCTTTCTAACCCCGCCCCGCTGTCATCGGCCTTTCATCTTCGTCAAATTATATCCGGCTTACGTTTAATAACAGCGCTTACCCGTTGAACCCAACCTTCGGCATTCCGTTTTGTACTCGTTCATTTACTAATTAATTTCAGACTCGCCTCCATGCTCTTTTCTCGACTGCTCTCTCTCTCTCTCTCTCTCTCTCTCTCTTCTCGACTGCTCTCTCTCTCTCTCTTCTCGACTGCTCTCTCTCTCTCTCTTCTCGACTGCTCTCTCTCTCTCTCTCTCTCTCTCTCTCTTCTCGACTGCTCTCTCTCTCTCTCTTCTCGACTGCTCTCTCTCTCTCTCTTCTCGACTGCTCTCTCTCTCTCTCTCTCTCTCTCTTTATCCAGTGTGTCGCTGGCAGCGTTTCACAACAGCGTGTGCAGCAACGACGGCATTCTTATTATTCTATTACGTTGTGTAATAAGTCCGTTCGCGTTATCTTCTGAGAAACTATAGCACCGCGCAGTCGTCGATGCGAACGGACTTATTATACAATTTCAGCCTAATCTACCCTGTCTTAAAGTAAACACTTCCAGCTTTCATTCGAGCCAAGTAGCATAGAAATAGCATTACGGAAACGTATCTTAAAATCCACCTGAACTTTTCCTTATAGATCGTGCAAACCTCATGATGTCGTAGGTCAATTCCTTATAATTTTTTAAAATGATCTCGTTATTCTATCGCGATCTGATCTACCCTGTCTTAAAGTACATACTTCCAGCTTTCATTTAAGCCAAGATGCATAGAAATAGCCCCGCGAGTACGTATCCCAAAATTCATCTGAACTATCGCTTCGAACTCGCGTTATTTTCCCTGTCTTTTTCTAGGTGTCAGAGGTCCGCGAACGGACTTGTCACACAATCTAATAATTACCTGGCCCGGCTCGTCGACTCTCAGCATCAGCGACCGGCGATCGCTGCCCCGCTCGTTCTCCACGATCACGTGGTACAGCCGCTGGTCCTCCTTCACGGTGCTGATCAGCTCCAAAATGGCGGCGTAGCAGTCCTCGACCGGAAGCGGGTCCAGGTCCAGGGCCCGGTATCGCGATTCCAGCATCTCGCCTGCGAACGGGACCACGATTACGGAAACGAAAACGATCCCGGAATCCATCGCGATCGACCCGAGAGAACGTCCACGACTCGTCGGGCATCGCTTAACAGCGGCCGGAAGGGAACAGGGTGGGGGAAGACAAACTAAACTGTTTCCGCGTTTCTGTCGCCGGAATTTCACTGCCCCGGGGTCATCGAAAGAAATCAAAGTGGAAACCCGCGTGTCTATAGACTCGGCGGCCAATCGAAGTTGCCCGGTCATTCGGAAGTTGCCGCGCGGTTTTAAGCGGCAAGTTTGCCCGGCTTCGCTGGAAACCGACATTTTTAGTTGAAACGCCGGCTGCTTGTTCGATACACTTTCGCTGACGCGGCCGTGTAGTCAGCAACCGACCCTGGTCAACAATCGCCGGAACAAAAGCTGTGTTTATGTTGACTGACGCACCGAAACGTACCGTTAAGGAAGTGGAGCCGGTTACCGTGCTCTAGTCAATTACTGTGCCTTTCGTTTATTTTTTCAAGCATAATTAACATTATACCATCTATGAAATTTTCTTATTTAAATTCAATGAATTACTTATTTGTTAGAAGACGGAAGTTATTAAAATATTATAAAAATGATTTCGTTTTTTTGATACTGAATGCGCGAATTTTTGTGCAAAGCTTGTGAAACAGTTGAAGAAAATACTGAACGAATGAAGATCAATATTCGATCGGATAAATCGTCTTCGATAAAATATCGGGATATTAATTGTATTGGTATAAAACGTATCAAGATTACGGAGAAACGAAACAGCGATTAATTCTACTTGAATTTTTGTTTTCAGTTTAAATTTTGATATTTACTGTGCACAGTAATTGAACCTATTTTATTATCTTTAAACTGCTGAAGTTGTGTTCAGTAGTGAAAATTAATTTTAATAATCCGGACATTTCGATGCCGAATGTAAAGGAATACCTTATGAAACATATCGAAGAAAGTTGTCGAATAAAATTACACACGACCCAAAATTTAACACTGTTAAGTTATTTTTCTGTCAAGAAGGTCCGTCGCTCGAGCGTTAAATTCGTGCAGAACACAATTACAGAAACTGAATTCATTCAACGATCATTCTTTGATCTCTTTCGAGTAGAAAATATAGTTCCAAAGCAAAAACAGTTCGCGAGCTGCAACGAAGGAAGGACTTGCGGGACGGTCAAAAACGGGAACAAAGGGATAAAAATGTTGCCGAAGCATTCGAAACATGTCCTGCCGGAAAAGCGACGGAACGGATGTCTAGATCCAAAGAACGACGATCGAGGAGCGGTTGGTCCGGGGAGGATCACGGTGAAGGGATCGAAGAGTTGGGTTGGCAGGCGCACGATGAGTCCGCTGGAAAAAGGGCGGGTAATTAAAGAGGAGGCTCGCGGCCGCTTTAGCCTGCAATTCGAGGATGCTCGGATTAATTAATCGCGGCCGCGCCACTTTCCAGCGATAAGGAGTGCCAATTAGGGAGAAGAGTACGTACGTACACGCAAAAGAAACAAGCAGGAATACGCGGTAACCGAAAGGGCAAAGACTCTCGGATACTTTCGGCGCTACGGGGGAAGGGGGGGGGGGGGCTACAGGAAGAGGCTGTAAGCCGTGAGCTAACCGGCGTGCAGTCTGGTGCTGCCCCATTCCCAAGCCACGAGCTGAGGCTTCGGGTCGGCGCACAGTCGGACCTCTAATTTCGCCGGACTCCCCTCGGTCGTCGCCACGACGAACTTCTCCGCGATGGTCGGCTTCACCACCTACGACACGCGTTCAACAACCCCTTCAATCGGTCTTCCGGCGAATCTTCGCTCGTCTAACCCCTGTGTCAACAGCCGGAACTTTCCTCCCAACGAGTTTCAAGCTGCGATCGAAATAAACCCGAAAATCTGCTCCGATTCGCCTTATCATTAGACTGCCGATTTTATGCGTTCATAGGAAAATTGTGTAGTTTCAATTTACAACAAAATTAAAAGCATTTTAACCCCTTAGCGCTCCGAAGACTCCGCTGCGGAGCCAAATGTTTTTAGCATACGTTATCGTCGGTGTCAGCAATTGTTATCTGTAGTTAAAACGTGCTAAGTCTGTACCATTACGATTAAACCATTTTTTGACCTTTTCTATGGTTAGCAACATGGAGAAAAATAAATATTATGATGAGAATTTAGAGCCGAGTGATACCGAAGACGCATTTGATTTTGAAGAGTTAAAAGACATTGTGGCTGAAAGTTTCACGATCGGCGAAAAGGAATATTTATATTATACCGGGTGTACCGCCGTTTTCCGTAAGTACTCAGTAAGCAGTGTGTTCCAACTAACGTTAAAAATAAGACTAAAATGTTGTAGAACGAAATGTTCATAAATGATTCGTTGGAAATTTATGACAAAAATACAAAATATGATTGAAACGATACTAGATACACCTAGATTAGATCCTGCTAGATTTTGCGGAGCGAAACGCCACATTTCAACAACTTATTTAAAATGTGTTCCAGTGGAACGGCTGTTTCATAATCTTTTTAATTGATTTATTTTAGGACGACATTTCACGGGATTCCACTTTTGGCACTTCTCATTCGAAATGTAAAGAACACATTGAGTTGTAAATAGGTGTTGGCGTGTCCGGTTATTGACACAAGGGTTAACAAAGTTCACAGCCACCACCCCTGGCATTTCTTTTTAGGTATTTCACAAGAGCGGACAATTTGCGTCGAGTTTTGTTCGAATATTGTGAACTAATCTGCTGCAGACTATGCGAATACAGAGCTGGAGCTGTTTCACAACAAATACATAGCCGAGAACGAATAACGTCAGTTAATTGGCCAATTACTTTCAGCGGCGCTTCACCGATTTTTCGATGCGAAAGTGCGGAAGAAGAAGACGAAATCGATTTGTCGATTGCCGCGCATTTTGCGGCCATTTCATTTTTGTATGGGCCATTTCGGTGCTCGAACCGCGAGTGTACTACTTTGTTAATGCCGCGATGATGAAGTCGACAATTCTATTCGACGGTATCTGTCAGGGGTGTTGCAGGTGTTTCGGTCGCGTGCTCCGCCCCGCGCTCGAAACTCGCAGCCCGGCTCGTTATACGAATTTCACGGGGACTCGATCCGCCGTCGATTCTTTTTGCTAGGCGATGTTACCGAGTCAACGTTTCGGCGGCGTTTCAGAGCGCGGGGGTACGGAGGGTCACGCTTTCCATGAAATATCAGCGCACCGCAAGCGGTACTTGGCACGCACGGATCGGAAAATCTGCTGCAGGTGATGCGAGCGAAAACATTGTAGCTGCAATCAACCGGCCTGAGTGTTCCCGTGGAAATGACGTTTTAACCGGCTGCATGTTTCAGCCCCGGCCTCTTTCTATCCGGTTAAATATGAATTTTTCCCGTATAAATGCGGGGGCCGCGGGAACCGACGCGGCTGTGCTTTAACAGGTCGACGAACGCGCGGCTCGGCCGGTTTAGTAATTTTATTAATTATTCCCTGCCTTCGGCGTGCGCCTGTTTTTCGATTACATTGATTTCCCGATAAACAACGCCGGAAAAAATATACAAGGAAAAACACCGTACACCGTTAAGCTGCGCCCACGCCAGCAATCTGTATCGACATATCAGGTTGCCCGAAAAAATCGCCACAAGTCTTTCGTGTTACCGGCAACGAACTGTCGGCTGCTCGCTGCTTGTTCCCATTCGGGCCAGCTAAAATCAAAGAAAAACAGTCCCCACCACCCGAACCCAAACAGCAGAAACAGCTGCTTCTCCGGCGTGCACGCTTTGTCGCCCGACCCACTAACGTATAGCGAAATGTTTGCGAACGAAGTTAATCCCCGTCCATATGTCCTCAACTTAGAATCTACACTCGATTACTCCAGTTTCTGACCGTTAAATTGGACGAATATCTGTTGCGTTGGAACGAGAGAAATACTAATGGGTTCGCAAGAAGAACGCGCAACTATACAGGGTGTCCCAAAAATGTTTCGCAATCCGAAAGTAGCGGGTTTCTCGGGCCATTTGAAGCAACTTTTTCCTTTACAAAAATTTTCTCCGAGGCACCGTTAACGAGTTATTAACGAAAAACAGTGACTAATGAGAGGCGAGATCAGCTGCCGCGAGGTGGTCGAGCCAACGGCGCCAGCGGTCGAGAGGTCGAATCCCAGCTCAGCTGACGCGAGCCAGCCGAGTCAACGGCGCCAGCGGTCGAGCGGTCGAATCCCAGCTCAGCTGACGCGAGCCGGCCGAGCCAACGGCGCCAGCGGTCGAGGCGGTCGAGGCGGTCGAATTCCAGCTCAGCTGGCGCGAGGCGACCGAATCAATGAGCGGAACTAGGCTTCGTGCGCTGGTTGACTGGGCCCCCTCGCGTCAGCCGTACTCGATTCTTATTGGTCACTGTTTTTCGTTAATAACTCGTTAACGGTGCCTCGGAGAACATTTTTGTAAAGAAAGAAGTTGCTTCAAATGATCCGAGGAACCCGCCATTTCCAGATTGCGAGAAATTTTTGGGGCTCCCTGTATATTTGATGAAATGTGAATGTAATTGTTACACAATTATACGTTTCTAAAAAAGAGTCCATTGTTCTGGTGTTAATCGAGGAGCACAGGAGAAATGGATTGTTTGTGTGTCTCGTACCAACATTCATTGCGAAGATGCATATTGAAAAATGGAAGATATCTCCCTGATCGGTTCTTTAGAAACCGTTCCGTTTCCTTCTTAAAGCTGCGTCGATAAGATATTTTTTTACTAACGCGGCCGGCGTTTGATAAAATTCTGAAATACTTATTGAACTTTCTACTTGAACATACAATTGATGATTGAGTTCTTTTTAGGTGGAGGAACCACCCTGGATCGTTCCGTTTCGAATATATTTACCCTTTGCAGTCGGAGCCATTTTAACAGGAAATCCAAAACAATTTTTTGATAGCATTTCTATGATATTGATTTTATAGTATAGTATAGTATTACTATAGTATTTCCCCAATTTTATTTAACTAGACAGTGTATCTTTATAACTCTTATCTATTTATTGAATATGTACGGTTATCCGCTTCGAAGATATTATCCCTTTGTAGTCAGAGCCATTTTAACAGGAAATCCAAAACAGTTTTTCTGATAACATTTCTATGGTATCGATTCTATAGTATAGTATAATATTTCTATAATATTTCCCCATTTTATATAACCAGGCAGTGTATCTTTATAACTCTTATTTATTTATCGAATATGTACGGGATTGTTCGTTAGCAGCTAATCGAATTAGACGCCCGATGAAAAAAATAAATAACTGACTATTTAGCGCGAAAGAAATATTTGTGTGAATTTCGCGGCAACAGTGGTCGTTGAAAGATGACTCGGTGGGGACGCAGCTTTCGGTGGGCGCGGTGCGTAAAAACTGGTCGGGCTGGTTTCCGATCCGCGATTCACGATCCGCGGGATATTTCCGGTGGCCGGAGAGCGATTAAATTTGAACTGGTTCCGATCGATTTAGCGGCGGCGGAGCGGGAGTTGTCTAGCTAATTTTCGGCGAGTAGCAGCACGCCCTATACAAATGGCCGCTCGTTTCGCCGAGCTGAAACAGGCCGTCGATTTACTATCGTCGGGCGTCGATCCTCGACGCTCGTGCATCTTACCCTGGGCGCGCCGACCACTTGCAGAGACACAGGGTCGCTTTTAACTTCCCGGACGTTTCCATTGATCTTGTTCGAGGCGAGACATATGTATTGACCCTGTTGCTCGTACGTCACGTTCGTCAGGATCAATCGCTGCCCGGAGCCGCACTCCAACGGCATCCGACCGTCGGTGAAGACCTGCGCCCATCTGCTCGTTCACGACAAAACACTAATCGTCTCCGGTTTCGGCCCGCTCTTTCTCGCGGCTATCTAACTACGGATCGGGGCGTGCAACTGTGAACCCGGAATTTCGGGTAACGTGCGAACTCGCTAAGCAATCACGGATAAGATACACAGGCAACTCGAGGGGCGGCAACCCTGCCAACATCAGCTACCGCTAATTTTCAAGATAACACTTTGATGATACGTGTTTTTATAGCATTTTCTACGACAAGTACAAACACGCAGATATTAATTTCGTAAATGTATTCGTCGCGCGAGAAAAAGAACTTTTTCATCGAAAAAATAATCGGACCGTGAATCCATACGCTTATTTTTTCAATACCGCGAGCGTGTACTGTAAACAAAATATTTCAGGTCGAAAACTTTATCTTTGTGTTTTTCATATTGCTTTATTACTTAAAATTACTTTAAAAAGGTCGCAATGGAAACAAGCAGACAATCATTGGTATACGCATTTGAATTTGTCGTAAAAAATGCTAGAAGATTTTATTTATTTTCTAAATTTGATGTGTCAAAAATGACTGGCAGCTGAGGTTTACAGGGTTGCCGCTCCTTAAAGGAAATGTACGCATCGGACGTGATCGATACTGCAAATTAAATGTGCTATGTTTTCGTGCATTTCTGCGTGTTCGTGGTGTTTTGCTGGACACGGAACGAATCTCGGATTTATCAGAGAAATTGTTGATCTTTGAACTCGTGTAACTTTTGCTGATCAGATCTATTCGCTACCCTCGCCACGCATGCGTCACGTTCACAATTTCGCAGTTTATATTTACTATAGTTTAGTTAATTTTATGCATGCTGCTGTTTAAAGTTACAGCACACAATATGATATTCAGCAAGTTTAAAACCGTGCTTTGCTAAATTGTTTTAATTATTCGTAAACGGGGCATGTTGCGTTTAATGAAACGTTTTAAGAATGGAGATAAGCAGCGAAATTAATGCTCGTGGAGACCGTGCTAAGATATTCTGCGTGTTCGGGGTGTGAAGTAGAGACCCGACTCTTCAAAATGGAACATTGGGTATGAACGTTGTAAGAACTTTTTACACGAGGTTACAGGACCTCGAAGTTTGTCAACGTCTCGGTTATAATTTTGTCGTTTCTTCGAATTGATTCCCCGTCCAGCAAGGAGCAACTAAATACATGATAATTTCGAGAGTACTTTGTTGCATGCAAATAGCGGTTCTTAAATTAAACAGGAATTTACAATGCTAAGTTTCTACGGTTTCCTGCTTCATAAAGCCCTGTTTTCCTTCATCCGCTCCTTTCCCAAGGAATATTCGAAATATGATGTTATATAACGTTTTAAAATATATACCCTGCTGGTAAAGTAAAATTATTTTCATTTTTTCATGAAAATAAAATGATCCCGGGGTCCCGAAATGCTTGGTGCTTAAATTACTATTTTATTCTGGTACCCGCTGCTTGGAATATCTAAAATACTGTTTCTACAAATTCCACTCGTCTCTGGTGGCGAGAGCAAATATGTGTGCATATCACAACAGGATGTAAACGTTTTAATGAAATGTAATGGTTAGACTGCGTAGCTTTTCGCGAGCACACATTTTTTGGCGACGAGATTAAAGAACGAAACACGTATCCAGGTAATTTGATTTTCTCTATTCGTATATTTTGTGCATGAAAAATCCTGGATTAAATTCTCCACGGGTTTTTATTATGTACGAGTGAACGAAGATTCGCAGTTCGCTAATGGCATAACATCGAAGGTAATTCATTGTAAAATGATTTTGGAGATCGCGAAGCTGTTTCGGAACAGGCCCAAAATTTCTTGCTTCATGCAACAACAAATAGAAAACATCGTTTAATGCACAATTAAAAATTCGAATCATCGAGGAACTTTACTCGACTGGCCCAGTTCAATTTCCATGAACTTTGGCGGTTCACTTGTTTCTCGTAATGTTGAAAGGCTACCGCGAGTACAGTGTTTTCAAGAAATTGTTACAAAATTTTCTGATTTTTCTGCGTTTCAATGTGATCGCATCTCACCGAATTATTAAGTTAATTATTATCCCAAAACATTTTAAATCTAGGTCCAAGTGAACCCAGTGTCTCGTCGCAAGCATCAGTGTCCTTTCGAGAAACATGTGCGTCGCTATAGTTGACGTCACTCCTGTTTAAAATCGAGCAATTTAAATTTCTACGATCAAAATTGTTTGAAATCTTTATAAATCTATTATGTTTCGAATTCGAGATAAAAATATACAGTAATGTCTCCCTAACTGACCCTTAGATTGTGCACAAAAATGGACAACTTGGGAAGAGGAGATATCATTATTCGAGCTTTGCGGCTCGTTTTTATAGTTGTCGACAATTCGTGACTGTAAAAATGAACCGCAAGGATCGAATAATCGTCTCTCTTCTCCCTAAATTGTCAATTAGAGAGACAATTGTCAATTAGGGAGACGTTACTGTATTCCAATGCAATTTTCTATAAATGTCGACTACAATCAGTTTCACATGTATTTAAAGTTAATTACAAACATATATTATACATCATTGTCGTCGTAAAGATCACGGGGCCATTGTCGACAGTCTATCTACGAAGAACGATTGGCATGCAAAGTCGAATCGTTTTGGCTAAAGTCACCTGTAGTCGGCCGGTGGCATCGCGTCGGCGGTGCATTCGAACGATGCACCGGAAAAGAGTAACGCCGTAGTCAGCCGATCAGGCCCGACCGAGCTGATTGTCGGCGGATCTGTGTGGGAACGAGAGAGAGAGAGAGAGTGAGAAACGATCCTATTGATTGGTTGGCATTGCATGTGCATTCATCGAGGACGGGCGTAAAGCGCAGCGCGAATCGTTTCGCGGCGCGGCGGCTGAATCGAACCGTGTCAAGCGAATTAACCGTCGATGAAAAGGCTGCTTTAACATCTAATTAATCCGCGACAATAGCCTGCGCGTTGTCTCAAGCCTTTCCCGAGCTCCGCGACCGGCCGCTCGATTTCTCTTCGCGCGATAAACGCTCCGCGACAAGCCGCGTTCTATAATTAGTCTCCCTTAGGTCAGTACACTGTCCGACGGTTAATCGCGCGACGGTTAATCAGCTTGCCGGACACACCGAGCTCGGAAACAATAAAATTATTTTCGTCGCTGTCGCCGCCGTAAATAATCCTCTGCACCAGGATCGTGGTGCAACGAGAAAGGCTCGTGCGTCGTCGTCAGGCTGCATATTCTCGCCGTGCACTCGTCGGACTTTTGCCCTCGCAGAGTCACTTAGGTACTTCAATCTTTTCGATCGTCTTTTTTTAGCAAATAATGGACATCGCAGCAAGGTTCGACGGAACCGTCTCTTTCGTTTCATCTTACGTACCTATGTACAAATGCATCGAATTTGCAGCCCGGATACATCGGGCGCATCAAACGTACAATTCGGTAGCACGTAAAATGAAATTTGTTCGCGAAAGCTTTCCTCTATTCGAACGAACGGATTACGGGAATTTATTCGCCGGACTCAGTAATTTTTATAGCCGAAAGTTTCGGTGCAACCGGTGCTGCTACGTTCAACGCGATCGCGGTTACAATGATTTATTTAAGCGCAACGTAACCGCCCGATGAAGTACGGTCAGAAGTCCGCGAGCATTGCGCCCCCGCGCGTTACAACTGCAAATCACGGTGATGAAACAAATCACGGTGTAAAGCTGATTTAACCGTCCTTACGCGAAATACGCCGTGTTTTTTGCGCGTCCGTCGCACCGACGCGACGGAGGAACGCGTCGAAATTCAATTCCCGCCGAAACGAAGTCTCTCGCGGAGCATTTTTACTCCGTAGCCTCGACACATTTTTTCCCGCGATTCTGTCCGTTCGTGACAGACGAAATTGTGGATTTTTTTAATGAGGAATCCTGCTGCGATACGCGCGGATCCCGGAACGATGCGTTAATACTCCGGAGGGCGGAATTCCAATGATGCACTGGAACTAGGTTGCCAGTATCTTTTTCATACTTTTATTAACAAAGACAGCTCGGCAAAACTACAGCGAACGATAGAAACGGAGGGTGCTGGAAAAAAATGGTCTTTTTACGTCCCGTTTGGAAATGAAGAATTCTTGCAACATAATTTACAGTGACATTCGGGCAACGAAGAATGTCCTTATCACTTCGTCGAGAAACGATGGGAAAGAGTTAATAATAACCTTAATTATCGACAGAGTGGGAAAGAGACGGATAAAATACAGATATTTAAAACAGAGAAAAGAATCGAATACAAAACCTCGGGAGAAAAAGAGGAAAATATACGTGAAATATAATTTGATTATGCGAGGGAAGACGAAGACGAACGGCGAATAGCATTTACGGCTTATTCTGATAGTTTAATATTATACAGGGTGTCCTAAAATTATCGTATTTCCAAGAAATGAGGGGTTCCCGAGGTCATTTGGATGCGCGGTTTTGTTTACGAGTTATTAACGAAAAACAGTGATCAATGAGAGGTTCCAGAAGGTCCAGATGTTCCAGATTTCAAACTAAATCGTGTGTTTCGCATGGATTTGAAGCTAATACGTGTGTTTCGCATAGATTTGTCCAGCAGTTCAGAAGTTCCGGAAAAGTTCCAGAAGTTCCAGATTTTCCAAAAAAGTTCCAAAAGTTCCAGAAAAGTTCCAGAAATTCCAGAAAGGTTCCAGAAAAGTTCCAGAAAAGTTCTAGAAAGGTTCCAGGAAAGTTACAGAAGTTACAGAAGGTTCAGAAATTGCAGAAGTTCCATAAGGTTATGGTAAATATTCTTCAGTCGGTCTAAAGTAAAGGTGAACAGCGTTTTTCTTAAAAATATTACTGTTACGTAGTAAAAAAAAATCCGGAGAGTTCACGCTCCGTGGCTCCGTGACTCCGTCCCAACCTTCTGCCGAAGACACGTGTTGCGAGATCTCGAACTTCGCGCCCTCACCTCTCATTGGTCACTGTTTTTCGTTAATAACTCGTAAACAAAGCAGCGGATCGCGTTTTCGCTAAGGAAAAAGTTGCTTCAAATGACCTCATGAACCCCTCATATTTCGGAAATACGATAATTTTGGGACACCCTGTATATGACATATTCTAGTATTTAACTTAAAGGAAGTATAAAGAGTTACAAAATATCGGTCAGAGACAATAAGTAAACGGTTCATAGAATTATTATCGGTCCGATTTTGGACAGCTTTCCAATCGTTTCTTCGGAAAATGATAAGCGTGTTATTCGTCCCTCCGTTGCTCAAGGTGTCAAGGGTTTAACGACAATTCTCGCATGATTGCTAAATAAATCGTTAAAGTGATAGATTTCAATTTTCCAGCGAATGCAGACGCGACGTTCAGCCACGTGCTATTGCATACAACTCGTTGACAAAAAATTAGGGAGACAGCGGCAAAGTTTGCCCAGAGAAGTTTGAAGGAGGACACAAAACGTTCTCTTTCGTGAAAAGAAATTCTGAGACAGTTTAACAGAGGCGGAAGAATCATCTGGCGCAGCACGATCACTGGGACAGCCTTTGGGAGTATTTCTTCGTTCGTGCCGAAGATCGATCGTGTTCCTCTTATTTAATAGACCGGTTTTATCCGTAAAAGGGTTGCTCGGGGATATTTTCAGTGCACGTTGTAGGGCGGAAAGGAGGCCGGGACACACTTACAGTTGACGGAGACTTGAACGGAAACTGGGCTGCTTTCGCCCTCGCTGTTGGCCGCCTCGCAGATGTAGTCCGCCGCGTGGTTCCTGTAGATCGGCGAGAACTGCAGAATTTCCCCTATGCTGGCCACCTCCGACACCCCCACGCTCTTCGATCTCCTCCAGAGGATCGAGGCCGGGGGATTCGCGTCGGCCAAACAGCGGATCTCCAGCTGATCTCGACCCTCCTCCAGCTGGCCTGTCGGGACGCCGACCAGTCGAGTTTCCGGCGCGTCTGAAAACCATTGCGAATTCAGAGGATATCCACAATCCGGCCGACATCCTGCAGAATCCACATAAATTACGACCAGCGACGTCGTTTCGTCTTTGTCACCGAAACCCTCGAAATCTGGACGCTTCCGTCCACTTTATTAATATTCATGTTCATTCAGTTCAGCGTGATCGCATTAGCTGCGAGATGATTAGCGACTACATTGGCTTACAATTAACTACGCCACGATTAACACGTGGCTTATATTGTAAATTATAAATTAACATTCATATTGGCCTGGGTAACTATAACAGAAAACTGTGTAGGTTTCATTTGAGATCCCTCTTAATAGAGAATCCGATTTGTTCCAGGAAAAAACCTGAAACATTCAAGTAATATACGATGGATAAATGCATTCAGGAGGATTTTTTTTTTTAGTTGTCAGGAAAATTCATGGATATATCCTTATTCCGAGCTTTCCTATTACGCGTTGTAAACGGCATGGGCGATCTCGTTGTAAACTCGTTTCATTTTGTCTCAGGTTTCGACGAACGAGATTGCAAAGTGGAACGACCTCGATCAGTTTCGAGAGCCAAGGTGCCGCTGCACTCACGTTTCCATCGGTGCACCAATTAAGGTAGACGAGGTTCGCTTTAATTAGGATTCGTAGGATCTGAAATCTGGTCTTCGTCGTACTGGCACCACAAAGAGGTTCATCCTCTCGCGGGGGGGAAGTTCGATTTAAGAAGTAACCGAAGCGACTGAAGCGTTTGACGGTCCGGGCGGTTAAAAGTTTGTTAATTCGAAGACAAAAGAAACAATTAATCGCGGAGGCAAGTTAGCCGGAAGACCTGCTATACACCAGGAAGACAGAGAGAGAGAGAGAATGAGAGGAGAAGAGGAGAAGGTTGCCGCAGCTGCCGGTTCGGTTGGTTCTCTTTGCGAGTTGCGTAATCGCATTTCCAAGTCTGAATGGGAGCTTGTTATTTTTGACCCCCGGGGAAATAGGTCGGAGGCTGAAATTATTAATTAATACAATTTGGATCTGTGCTCCAACATTAATTAACCGTCATTTGTGACGTTTCTCGGCGGTCGGGATGCTGTTTCATTGGTTTAAATCAACGGGAAGAGCCGGAGGCAGGCGAGAAGGGGGCCACAGGTGGACGGGGAGGGGGCCGGAGGGGCCTCAGAGTAATTGCGTATTAACACGGTAAATTGTTTTCCGCGCTTGGACGCGGCGAATCGCCGGGGCTTTGTCCGAAAACGAGACCGGAACTCTAGCATCGGGCAGCGGGTCTCATCGCGAAAACTTTTCGAGACGGCCCAACGATTCGCACGACCATTTAACTATGCAAATTGCATTTGCGAAACCAAAAGGCGAGGTCGCGGCGCGTTCCGACGAATGAGAAATATTCCGCGAACGTCCAGCTTGCGCCTCGAATGCGATTCCATATTCGGAATGCACTTCTTTCGCCTGTACCTCTCGTACGAATTTCCAGCGTTGTTTTTCCTCGGTCGTGCGCGTTGCGAAATTCTTGACTGTGTTGGTTGGAGATTGATTCTACCCGTTGCGCCAATTTCACACATTCCCCGCAACTGTTTCGTAGAACTTGGGAACAATCTGTTGAGCGGGACTTTTCATCGAGACAATTGTTGGTATATCACGATTTTTCGAAACGGTTTCGTGAATCTTCTTTAATCTCAATCAGCATATATTAAAGCGGAGATATCCAGCTTTAATTTGAGGTAGGTTACATTTCAAAAGTTCCGCAGAAATGCAAATTAATATCGACGTAACCTTTCCTTTCAAAAAATGAGTAATTTTTCTTCGAGTCAGCGCTCGGGATTATTCAATTTTTCGAAACGATCTTGCGAATCTTTTTTCATTCGAACAACCCTATCTTCAAGCGGACACTTCCAGCTTCGATTTAAGCTAGCCTGCCAACTCCAACGGAAAGTTTAAATTCGGATGACAGATAAATCTACGTATAATTAGTTCCTCGTTCGAGACTTCGTTCCCAAGGAAATCAAAGCCGAAACATTGAGAAGCGTCCGACGAAGCAAGAAGGCAGGACTCGATATCGGTACAACACTCCGTTCGAAAACTGCATTCGAGCCGCATGCGACGGCAGTGACCAAGTTATGCAACAATGAACTGTCCGACGAAGCAGTACACATCCGCTGTCACAACCGACGAGTCGTTTACCGCGGAATCGTCGCCAAAAAAGCTAAAAATCGAGGAGGCAAAAAAACGACAGCGATCGTTGGCTGCGGGCATTCGTCGTGGTCGCATTAATCAACGCGTACGCGCGTTTCAGTAGCTCGCAGGGTTCGTAAAAAGTGCGTCGATTCGAGCCGCATTCGAATGCGTCGATCCGAGATCCGCGGATCGGATCCGCGATCGGCGGAGCGCATTGTTCCGCGAGCATGTAGCGAGCCACGGGATCTTTCATCGCTCGGAGGGTGCTGGCCAATTAACATCTTTTGTCGGGTCGGCCGGTTAATCGATCGTTTTCGATTCGTCGATTAATTATTCCCCGGGGACAGAAAGTTGGGGCCGCGATTTTTCGACGCGGTGCGGCGCGGTGGCCGCGGCGAGCATCGATTAAACCGGCCGAGCGGAATCGGTCTCGGCGCGGGCGGCTGCCCCACCCCCGTGGAACGGCCGGGGGATTAACTGAGCGCAGGTGTAATTGAATTTTTCGCGGGCCGCGCGGCTAACTAATTATTTCTGACAAGGAATAACGAAACGCCGCGCGGCGCGCGCCCAGCGCCTGGCGCCGCAGAGGCCGACAGACTCTGATTCATTATTTCGAGGCCGGAGCGGAGCCGAGCCGAGCCGAGCAGAGCTGAGGCTCCCTCGCGAGCGCGTCGCTCGCTTTGCTGCGCGCGCGTGCTCCATTGTTTTCCATTCCATTATCGGTTTCCCGATCGCGACACGGTCGGCGTTCCCCGTTTTTTTCTTCGCTCTTTCTCTCTCTCTCTCTCTCTCTCTCTCGCTCTCGCTCTCTCCCTCTCCCTCTCTTTCTGTCTCTCTTTTTGCTTCTGTTCCTCTGCCGTTTTTCACCTGCCGCCACTATTCCGACGCACACAGGTCGACTTTGTCCGAGGCAGCAGTAAAATCGATCGGATCTCTAGGCTCGCGGGAACCGTTCGACGATCAACGAGGCTCTCGGGCAGCGCGCACGCGGCCCCTCGGATCCACTTTTAATTACGCGCTCATTACGAAGGATTTAATCTGAAAACTTGCTACTCGGGGCCCGCGTTTACTCTTCCGCGGCGAGTGTTTATTTTTCGCTCTGTTCCGCGCGGCCGCCGCGCTGCGAAACCACCCCCGCGCTATGATTAAAACCGTGATAGCAATTCCCGCTCGCGATTCCGATTTAATCTCCCTTCTCGTTTGTCGAACCATTGCCGCGTCGTCCACCCTCTCAACCCCCGAACCGCCGAACCCCCCGACCACGCTCTCCACCTCGTCTCTCCACGGCGCCAACCGAACCACCCGACAACACTTTTTTTCCACGAGAAAATTAATTTCTCTAGCTTAGACCATTGGGGTCGTTGACTGCGATCGCGGGGACGTAATTGGAAACTCCCGCGGACCTGCGGGAGACTCCGGTCTCGATCCGAATCCGGACCAAGACTGTTGCTTCGAAATCGAACGATGGTCTTACTTTTCGTTTGCTGGAGGATGTCCGGGAATTTCGGGATATGGTAGAACTCCATTTATCCGAACGACATTTATACGAACGAGATTTGATTTGAAAAGCCTTTTTTACAATAACGAACTAAAACTAATGTTAACGCGTTCTGTGCCACGTGTATCAGCGACGATACAGTAATGTCTCTCTAATTGACGCTCAGATTGTCCACAAAAATGGACAATTTAGGAAGATAAGACACGATTATTCGATTGTCGACAACTATAAAAACAAGCTGGAAGGCTCGAATAATCGTGTCTTCTATTCCCAAATTGTCCATTTATTTGCACGATCTATGCGTCAATTAGGGAGACATTACTGTACATGCTTACATGTTTATTTAATGCGCTAAAAAGATAGTTTATAACAGATTTAAAAAGGCAGAATTCATTTCCGCCATACAATGGTTTCATTGTTATATATACGATAATTAATAATTGCATGTAATATATAAAGTTTTAGTAAAATGTCAAGTGACCAGTCTGAAGAGACGGGTAAAAACAGCTTGGCACGGAACGTGTTAATACAAACGGAGAATCAGCGAGTCAGCGTCAGAGTTATATTTCATTAATAACTGATAAACAATGTCGAAATGATCTCAGGAACCTCCCATTTCCGGAGTGCGAGACATTGTCGCGACATCCTGTATTTTACAATGAGCGAGAAAGGTATAATACACTGAATTCTTACAGGCGAAGTCGCGAAATTAACAAAGAATCTAATCGTTACTGAACGTTTCGTAGATTAGGCGTAGATTAGGCGTAGAGTAGGCGTAGATTAGGTGCAAATTAGGCGAACGCACCTGTGGTCGATAACTATTTATACTGGGGGCCATCGGTGACAAGAAGGAGTAAGGAGTGATAATCTTGAAAAAGTCAAGGCCAGGGAGGAACAGGGGATTTTAACCCTTAGCGCTCCGAAGGCTCCGCTACGGAGACATTTGTCATTTGTTCCGTAACCCCGAAGGCTCCGCTGTGGAGCCAAATATTTTTAGCATACCTTATCGTCGGCGTTAGCAATTGTTATATGTACTTAAAACGTGCTAAGTCTGTACCATTACGATTAAACCATTTTTTGACCTTTTCTATGGTTAGCAACATGGAGGAAAATAAATACTGTAATGAAAATTTAGAGCCGAGTGGTACCGAAGACGTATTTGATTTTGAAGAGTTAAAAGACATTGTGGAAGACAATGTTGGTTATGATTCTGACACTTCGAGTGGTAGTAGCGAAATTATACCACCAAAGAGACGAAGAATGAGAATTATTGAAAGTGAAGCGAAGATTCGTTACAAGACTTAGATGAACGGCGTGATGTTACGG